CCCTCCCACTTTCATTGGTAGAAGTAAACATTTTTACTGAATAAAACTGATTAATTCAGTAGTTTATAAAGATGTGTATCAGAAGAAAGGGGACAGGCTTATTGAAGCAACTTGTAGATAGAGGAAATTAGGCCCCGCTATTATGGACCCTGAATGCAGATGCGTTCAAAAAGAATAGGCTTCTCTAGGGTCAGGGAGGGAATTTTGGAGGAGAAGTGTTGTATCTGTAGACAGACATAAAACTGATGGGGAGGCATATGTGTAGCTTTTTATAACTCAAAGAAGGATCTAAGCTTTTGGGTCACTGGCTGAACCAAGTGTCACAGTTGAAATAGGCTGGCCTTGGCCCATCAATTTATACGGGCCGGGGTCAAACTATCTGAAAGATTAGGATTAAATATGACATTAGTCAGTGGTGAGCAAAGAGATGACAGGGCAAATCTACCAATACACCGCCTCCATATAGACAATGTAAAATGCAAGGGCCCGAGCAGAAGATGTTTTTGAGAGAGTGATTTCAGTGTTGGTCATACACCAGAGAAGAGAACAAGGTGCAGCGGACCCAGTTGCAGCCATTAAAACTCAAACCATTTATTGGGAGGAAGCTCAGAGGACCGTGAGTCAAGAATATGGAGGTGAGTGGCCAAATAATACGACACAGGATCTGGAGCCCCCAGACCTCCCCTAGTAAGAACTGTTCGGGCAATTCGGTAAGAATTATTATGCCAATCAAAATGGAGGAAGGATTTCTGAAGGGAACGTAGCTTGGACATGGGAATAGGTACAGGAAGCGTATCAAACAGATACAAAAGTTTAAGCAGTATGGTCATTTTTAGCACATTAATTCTTCCAAGGAAGAAGATAGCAAGGCTGTCCCAAGATTTCAAGGATTGAGAAATAGCGAGAAAAAGGGGGGAGAAATTAGCTTCATAAAGGGAGTGGTAGTAGGCAGTAAGGTTGGTTCCTAAATACCTCAAGGAGTGGGAGCACCAGCAATAGTGATAATTCAATTGAAGAGAAGATAAAATAGCAGAAAGTATGTGGAGTGTTAATGCTTCAGTTTTAGATGCGTTAACCTTATAACCTGACAGGATGCCTAAGAGCTGGAGAGTACGATGTAAAACAGGTAGAGTACTGTGAGGCTCCATCAGTGTCAGCAAGATCTTATCAGCAAACAAACACAGTTTAAAATCATTATTATGAGTGCGTATCCTAAGGGTTGGATCTGATAGCTATAGCCAGGAATTCCAAACAGAGGATAAACAATAAGGGGGAAAGAGGGCATCCCTGGAATGTACCATTAGACATCTGAAAAGGTGATAAGAATGAAGCTAATTTGACCTGGGAAGAGGGAGTGGAGTAGAGTGCTTTCAAATCAGCCACAAACAGGCCACTGAACCAAAATCTCCCCAAGATTTTGACTAAAAACCTAGAAGGCCAACCTAAGCGGTCAAACGCTTTTTGGGCATCCAAGCTTAAGAAGAGAGTAAGATTTGGGGACTTATTGTCAAGGTTGATCAAGTCAATGGTCCTCCTGGTGTTATCTGCAGCATGTCTAGCCAGGACAAAGCCCATCTGGTCTCTGTGTATAAGCATGGAGATACATTTGGGCAATCTATTAGCTAGTATTTTCGTGAAAATTTTGTAGTCAGAGTTCATCTGGAAAGGAATGGTCTTTGTCCACAGAGATATATGCGCTTGTGAAGTCATTGTGCGGTGACAGGTGCCCATGGAAATACAGAGGCCTCTAATGAAAGCCTTATGGGCCTTCCAGAGGGTAGGGTATGAGGATACTGAGCCAACATTGAAGTGAAAGTAAGCATCCAGACTCCGAGAGAGCTCCTCTTGAAGTTATTCCGAATGCAGAAAACTCTCATTAAAGTGCCAGTGGCAGACCCTAAGGGTGGAGTTAGGGAGAAGGAGATCAAGTGACAGTGAAGCATGGTCCGACTAAGTCATCGGGTTGATCTCGGAAATAACCAAAAATGGGATCAGGGGGGCATGACAAAAATATGGTCCAATCTAGAGAACATGCGATGTGGAATGAAATAAAATGTGAATTGCCTATGGAGAGGATGTTTGGTCCCCCAGGCATCAAAGAGACAATGCTCCCGAATCAGTTTGCGGAAAGCCGTCGAGGAGGAGCATAGCCTTAATTATTTGGCTGTACATTTGACAGTAATTGTATCACTTGCTCCTATAAAAATTGTTGGTAAACAAAATTTAAAAACAAACACATTCAGCATGTAAAAACTTCAATGATCTGATTTATTTACTTAATGTTTCTTAATCTGCCATTTTTCAATGTAAAGAGCAGGATGTAATCTGACTCATCCTATATATCACTGCAGCCGTTTTAATGGAAGGCAGAGGAAACCAGCACCCTCAGTTTTCCAGGGAATTCATGCAGTTGCTCTGCCTTTCGCATTGTGAATTCACTCATGCACAGTGCATAGCAAGTCTCTGCAAGCCCAGCACAGCTATGCACAGGAAGCCGCGCATGCTTAGTAATGTTTCCATCCATCCACCACCAGTCTCCGCCCATCTCTGCCTGTCCCCAACCCTCCTTTAGCTCCTCTCTGCCTTCCTAAAGCTCCCCTCTGCCCTTCTACAGCTCTCCTCCACTCACATTAGAAAACAAAAAAAGCCTAAAGACTCCTGGGATTTCTAACAAAAATAACCCAGGAGGCAGTAGGAATAGAGTTTTAACATCATTAGCCTAGATGGGGGAAGCAGGAAGTGGATAGGAACTATGAAAAAAAGGTTATTAGAAAAAAACAATCTAGACATAATACAACAAACACACTATATGGTAGAGCATTAAAGAAGGACAGTAGATAATATCCTCCCCATTTGATGTCAGCAATGAGGTGTCGATTGCTTTAGAACTTCTTCAACACATTTCACAGGACAAAAGCCCACTTCTTCAGGAAAAAAGCAATAAGTACATCTCTGAAAATGTAAAAAATACATATAAACAATGGAATTCAGAAAAGTTTTTTTCATGGAAAACTACTCCATAATATAGGCATGTTCCATACCTGTTACCAGTGCTGACCAATACATTTATATAAAACCAAGAAAGGAAAGGTTGGTCTGCAAATGGATCACGACAGTGAACAAAACCAGAAACCACAACCTCTATGTTGTTCTCACTATAAGATTTGTGTAACGTGAGACAAACCTGTGCAGTTTTTTGTTGGACCTGGAGGTTAGGAGGTCCACATCTGGCATCCCCCACCTATGACATAGGTCCTGGAACACTAATGGGTGTAGGGCTCATAATACGGATCAGGATACAGTGTTTCCAATACATATTTGTGCTATGAGTGTTTGAGCCATAAGTATATAATCTATAAAGGGGATGTTCCTCCATGGTCCATTGAGAATAACTGTAATTGCTTATATTAAACTGTTTTATATGTTGTACAATAAAAGTATCTTTTTGAAGATAATTATTATTTATTTGATGTGTTGTCTTGTGCATGTTTTTTTGATGCAATTTTACCAAAATAGTGATTAATCTTTTGAATGTGGCACTTGCTGCTGATCTATAAGTGGATTCTCGGCTTACCACCCAGTGGCAAAATTATTTCTATTAGGGTTCATTCAGAGTCCTTTGCACCATCTAGGACTCATCCTCAGACTGGCATCCATTGTGAGGGTCTTCCAAGAGATCAGAGATTTCCCCAGCGCCAGAATTAGATTCCTGTACCACCATACCAGAGACAACCTGGTCCTTGGTGTCAATGAAATTGGTTTATGCACAGAATTATTATTATTATTATTATTAACGAGTTTATATAGCGCCAAAGGGTTTGCTCAGCGCTGTACAATAGGGGGGACAATACATGGCACAGTACAACAACAACAAACAACGTACGAGGGGTAAGAGGGCCCTACTCTTACGAGCTTACAATCTAGGAGGGAGGGGGTAAAGGTACAGTAGGAAGTGGCTGAGGGGGATAAAGTGGTGGGAGGAATGAGGGAGGATGGCCGTTAGGTGAGGGTGGGGTAGGCTTCCCTGAAGAGATGGGTTTTGAGGGAGCGCCTGAATGTGAATAGGGAAGGCGACAGTCTGATGGATTGGGGCAGTGAGTTCCAGAGGATGGGGGAGGACCTGGAGAAGTCCTTCAGTCGTGCATGGGAGGAGGAGACCAGGGAGCAGGATAGAAGGAGGTCCTGTGAGGAGCGAAGGGTACGGGTAGGGTGGTACTTGGTGATCAGGTTGGTGAGGTAGTCAGGGGCAGTGTTGTGAACGGCTTTGTAGGTCAGGGTTAGGAGTTTAAATTTGATGCGTTGGGCAATCGGGAGCCAGTGGAGGGAGAGGCAGAGGGGGGTGGCAGAGGTGGAGCGGGTGGTGAGGTGGATGAGTCTGGCAGCTGAGTTCAGGATGGTCTGGAGCGGGGAGAGCCTGCACTTGGGTAGGCCAGTGAGGAGGGAGTTGCAGTAGTCAAGGCGTGAGATGATGAGGGAGTGTACTAGAAGTTTGGTGGTGTCTGGGGTGAGGAAGGAGCGTATCTTGGCAATGTTGCGAAGATGGAGCCTGCATGTGTTTGTGAGTGATTTGACATGCGGTTGGAGGGAGAGGTTCGCGTCAAGAATGACGCCAAGGACTTTGGCTTGCGGGGCGGGAGTGATAGTGGAGTTGTTGGTGATGATGGATAGGATGGGGGGGGGGGGTGTTGGCAGGGGGAAAGATGAGGAGCTCGGTTTTGGAGAGGTTGAGCTTGAGGAAATGTAGTGACATCCAGTCTGAGATGTCATTTAGGAGGTGAGTGATGCATAAACTGATTTGTCCCACAATGGCAGAATGTTGAGTTGCAGTGTTCTTGAGAGGAACTTAGTAATGTCAGGAATGGACTGGCCAGCAATGGTGGGACTCACCTGCCTTTTGATCTGCAGTACCAGGGCTGGCCAGCGGGTGCTCCCAGCAATCAGAGACTCAACCTTTCAGCCAGCTAACACCTGGAACTGATGATACTGGTGTATTTAAGGGATGGCCAGACTTGCAGACTCTGCCTTGGTGTTGTGTTTGTCCTGGGCCCTGTATCTGTCCTGCATCCTGTTTCTGTTCCTTTGCTGACCCTGCCTGATCTGAACCGCTGCTGACTTCTCCTGCTCTGATCCCGGCTCGCTCCTGACCATCCCTCTGCCTGACCCTCTGTACCACGCTGCTTGCTACCTGTTCTGATCTCTGGCTTGTGACCCTGACCATCCCTCTGCCTGACCCTCTGTACCACGCTGCTTGCTACCTGTTCTGATCCCTGGCTTGTGACCCTGACCATCCCTCTGCCTGCCTGACCCTCTGTACTACGCTGCTAGCTACCTGCTGAACCTGGCCTGTGACCCCGACCCATCTCCGCTTGCTGCCCCCTGTACCTACCTGCCCTATTGATATTTACCCGGCCTGCCTGACGACGCTTGCTTGTATGTACTGTTATCTGTGGGTGGTTGGTTTGGTTTGTTTGCACTGTATTATGTTTTAGTATTGCACTGCGTTTATGTTTGTATGGTTAGTGTTAATAAATTATATTGTTTATCACATATCTGAAGTCTGCGTTTCCCTGCGTCAGTCACACTCCTCTGGTCACACCTGGGAGCCCTGACATTACACCAAGGCCAATCCTGACCAGAAGTGGCTGCACAGGGAAGCCATCTTGGCTTGTTGCTGGGAAGGATGGATCTGGATGAGGTTGAGTATTTATCTCTGCTAGTGCTTGATGACAGAAAATATGCTTATCAGACTCTGAAGGAGTATCCCCGGGATGAACTGCTAGAATGTATACGGCTCGCTCATGTTCTAGTAGATCAGGGCACAGATTTCTCTATGGTGCAGCCATTGATTAAGGTTTGTGTTGAGTTGGTTTCATCTGGTTTCCCCGAATGCAGGGATGAATTTTTGCCACCATTTAGTGCAGACCAGGTAGAGTCCCTGGTGTGGTTATTAGAGGATGATGTGGGTTACTTTCTGGAACGTTATTCCACATGTTCACCACAGATACTAAGAGATTGTATAAACGCAGTGCAGTCTTTGGTCAGACAGGCTTTGTGTAAGCTCAGCTTTGTTCAACCCATACTGCAGACATGGACAGACTTGTTGCACCCAGCCTCAGTCAGCTTACAAAGACCCAGTCCTGCTTCTAATCTATTTCCTCAAAGCTCTACTCCTGTATTCCCAACAACTCCCCCAGTTACAGCCCAGTATACTTGGCTATCTACCGCATGTCAGTACCCTGTTCCCACTCGCTGCACCTATCCTGCCTTTAACCCTGTAAAAAAGCCCTCTGTAGCAACTGCTCCCTCCTCTGTTCCATCCTCCAGTTTTTCTCTGTCTCCAGCTGCTCCATTCGTTTGCAGACCTGCGTTTACTTGCAGTGCTCCAGTAGTTAAAACCAGAAAAAAGCGAAAATTCTTTCCAACCAATACCATCCTGCCAGTATCCAAACCGGTGAACCTGCCTTCCGTGGTTCAGCCTGAATCCTCGGTTCAGCCTGAATCCTCGGTTCAGCCTGATGCCTGTACTCAGCCTGATGCCTCTCTTCTGCCTGAAGCCTCTACTCGGCGCTTGCTTGTATGTACTGTTATCTGTGGGTGGTTGGTTTGGTTTGTTTGCACTGTATTATGTTTTAGTATTGCACTGCGTTTATGTTTGTATAGTTAGTTTTAATAAATTATATTGTTTATCACATATCTGAAGTCTGCGTTTCCCTGTGTCAGTCACACACCTCTGGTCACACCTGGGAGCCCTGACAGGTAAATAGAACTGCCTTGAATGAGGCTACTACAAGCCCCAGTAAACTCATGCAGAAATGAAAATTTGAGTGCAAGTCTTGGGATACTGGCCCTGGAGGATAGATACTTACAGCTTTGAATTTATTGACTTTTTTTAAATCAGAGATAAAAAGTCAAAATCCTTGAGTAACCTAGGGAGTGTTGTCTGACTCTCAGTCAAAAGAAACAACATGTCATCTGCGTAGGCAGCAGTTTTATGTTTCTTTACCAATCTGAAATCTTTTAATGCCTGCTTTGGGTTTAACTATTCCTAGGAATTACTCAATCACATTCATTAAATTTATAATGGATTTTATCCATTTTACTATACAGAGTGCAGAAATTGAAACTAAACCGCAATCAGTAATTAGAGTGAAAAAAATCCCCAAATCTCTAGTGTAATACAGCTCTAAATGGTACATTTTTTATATGTTTTTATTATGTTTGTTATGCTGGTGTAGACAGGTACTTGGCTAAGAATGGAGAATGAGAGAAACACTTGCTGCAGCTGATCTTTGTAGCTACTGCCTTGCGGTGCTGCACTGGTTAACAGCTATATCAGCAAGAAGAGGGAGCTGCCGAGAAGGAATAGTTCAATAGACTGAGTCAGGCAGCAATGTACTATGGGAACTGTAGTCTAGAGGAGAGAGCCTCTACTGTAATCAAAAGCTTTTGCACTGGACTTCCCAGAGAGAGATTGCCAGGAGGAAGATAAAGAGATGCATTTTTACAAGTTGCACAGAACACAGGTTCCTCTTGCTGTGAGGGAGACCAGAGAGTGCACATTGCTGTCCAGTGTGCATCATCATTGCTGCATATCATGACCTGAGTGGGATCTGGAGTTTGAGAGTGCTGACAGCCAGAGTCACCTGGGTGCAGAGTAAAGAGTGGAATAATCACTGTATGTGATCGGATGCTGAGCTGCAATATCACTGGTACTGATGAGCTGCTGCTGTGGGGATTTACTGTTTGCTGCTAGAGAGAGACAGAGCCCTTTAGGAACTGGCCACACAACCAAGTAGTAGCCTTATTGCTGCATGTAGGCTCAACTGGGACTATTCTCATGTGCACCCGTGGTACAATTAGGCCCCAATTCTAGCCAGCTGAAAAATTAGAACAAAATACTTCCCCTTTACAGCTGCTACACAGATACCTTTGCTTATTGCCTATGCTAAGAGGTACCTCTCATTGGAATTTGCACCATATCCTAGCCATCCTCCTAGAGGTCACTCTAGACTAGTTAAAGTATTATTATTCATGTTGCAGTCAATGCTTATATACACTATTGCTGACTTTGCTGACTCATGAGTTAATTTCAGTCTAGTGGTGCAGAATAGAGATGAGCGAATCGAAGTAGGCGAAGTGGAATTCGTTTCGAATATTAGGAAAATTTCGATAAGCAGACTTCGGATGCGCGAATCGAAATTTTTCCTAAAATGGTGGCGACATGTGCGGCGACGGAGCGGGGATGTCTGGGAAGGCGCGCAGACAAGGCGCGCTGACCCATAATGCATTCATTCATGACATGTGATCGCATTAGCCAATCAGCAGCCAGCCAGCCAGCACAGTGTAATGGTCGAGCTATAAATGGCGGCCATTTTAGAATTCTCCATTTGCCTCCAGTCATTCAACAGAGGCAGACCTGGCTGTATGCAGGGAGAGAGTTAGGGACAGAGAAACGTTAGTTAGGGCCACAGAATCGTTACTTAGGGCCATAGAAACGTTACATAGGGCCACAGAAACGTTACATAGGGCCACAGAAACGTTTACTTAGGGCCACAGAATTGTTAGTTAGGGCCACAGAAACGTTACTTAGGGACACAGAATTGTTACTCAGGGACAGACAGAATTGTTACTGAGGGCCACAGAATCGTTACTTAGGGCCACAGAATCGTTACTTAGGGCCACAGAAACGTTACTTAGGGCCACAGAATTGTTACTTAGGGACAGACACAGAATTGTTACTGAGGGACACAGATTTGTTACTGAGGGCCACAGAATCATTACTTAGGGCCACAGAATTGTTACTTAGGGACAGAACACAGAATTGTTACTGAGGGACACAGATTTGTTACTGAGGGCCACAGAATCGTTACTTAGGGCCACAGAAATGTTACTTAGGGCCACAGAATTGTTACTTAGGGACAGACACAGAATTGTTACTGAGGGCCACATGAATCGTTACTTAGGGCCACAGAATTGTTACTTAGGGACAGACACAGAATTGTTAGTGAGGGA